ATGATTCATGCTTAATCAAGGGGTTTGATTGAATTAATTGAACAAGCGGAAAGGGGCTTGTTTTACCTTGAGTTAGGGGAAAAGTACATGTTACCACTTAGGCTTGCATGGATGAGTTGAGTAGGAAAGTGTCACCACCTATGATTTTTGACCATTTCTTTATGCATGGCTTAACACTATAAATAGGTGAAAGTTTGCTTTGGCCAAGGTTTTAGCCATTTTGTTCTTGCAACAAAAAAACATATAGAAAAAAAAAGAGCTTCAGAGGTAACTAGCCAAAAGGCATGAAGCTTTGGGCAATTGGTTGATAGCTAGGAGAAGGGACAAGGTGAAGTTCTTGAGGGATCTTGAAGTGTTTTCCTTCATCTCTAGCTTATCCAAGTAAGTATAATCTAAACTAAATTGCAAGACTCGGTGGTCTTAGGCTTTTATGTGTTAATTGATGCATGTGATTGAGCATGGATGGTTTAAGCTTAATATGTTTATGTAAACACTTAATGAATTGATTATTTAATTGTAGTTTGTTCATGTTTTTATATAAGGACAAATAAGTATAACTCTCACCTACATCACAAGACCTAATATGTATGAGTTTCACCGATAAGGGATTATGAACATCCTTGTTAAATTATTGTGTTTTGGGTGAATTCTTGCTTGAATTGATGGATAATTGCTTGATCCTTTATTTTGAATGAATTGACCTTAATTTTTATAAGCATGATGAGGCATGTTGTTTCGCTAACTTGTGTGAATTCTTGTCGAATTAATGGATAAATACTTGGTGCCTAAATTTTTGTAACTTATGTGAATTCTTGTCGAACTGATGGATAAATACTTAGTACCTAAATTTTCGTAGCTTATATGAATCCTTACCGAATTTATGGATAAATGCTTGGTGCCTAAATTTTCATAGCTTGTGTGAATTTTTATCGAATTGATGGATAAATGTTTGGTGCCTAATTTTCATAGCTTGTACGAATTTTTGTCGAATTGATGGATAAATGTTTGATGCCTAATTTTCATAACTTGTATGAATTATTATCGAATTGATGGATAAATGCTTGGTGCTTAAATTTTCACAACTTATATGAATTCTTGTCGAATTGATAGATAAGTGCTTGGAGCCAAAATTTTCATAATTTATGTGAATTCTATAGACAATAGCTTAATGCCTAAATTTATGTAGCATTGTAGGATGGATTCTTGATAAATTGACATTGAACTTCTTGAGTTCATGACATGGCATTGATATTAAATTTCATAAACTCATGTTTTAAGGAAGCAAAAAGATAAGTGCATGTTTATAGAAAGGCCACCTATAAGAACGATCCGGTGTATATCTAGGGTTGACACCCAACTAGACTATGTCTAGCTTATGACATGTTCATAGAAAGGCCACTCACGAGAATGATTTGGTGTATACCTAGGGTTGGCACTCGACTAGACTATATCAAGTTTATGACATGTTTACAGAGATGCCACCCACGGGAATGACCCGGTGTATACCTAGGGTTGGCACTCGACTAGCCTATGTCTAGTTTACAACATATTCATAAAGAGGCCATCACGGGAATGATTTGGTATATACCTAAGGTTGGTACTCGGCTAGACTATGTCTAATTTATGACACGTTCATAGAGAGGCCACCCTCGGGAATGATCCGATGTATACCTAGGGTTGGCATTCGACTAAACTAAGTCTAGTTTATGATATTTTTGTCAAGGTTTTAAAATAGGGCCGAATCGGACATTCTATAAGGTATGTTTGAAAGATAAAAAAAAAAAAAGAATTTTCATCACGAAACATGTTAAAACAAACTCATGCATGGTTACACTTATTGAACCTTTGCTCATAATTTATGTCTTGTGGCATAGGTGATCGTAACACGACCTAGAGCATGTTATCACATTAGAGGTGTTGTTAGACACATTTTGAGTTTGCCAAAAAATGTAACATAGATGTAGGTTTTAAGCTCGTAATTTAGATATTGTCCATGTAATGTGTAATGCCTAGTTTTGGTTTGTAAAAGCATGTGTAAATAACGTTTTTTACTATGACAATGTATGAACTAGTTGATATTTTTTGAAATGAAACTTTTTTTTACAAGAATTACGTGGGTTTAATTTATATTGGATGTTTCACTTCATAACATCGCTCTTTCATTGATGAAATATTTTTACGTTATGACATAAAAATTTATATTGGCTTTTAATAAGTTGAACCAAGGTTGATATAGGTTTAATTGTATGCCTTTGAGCTTTAAAAAGAAAATATTTTTCTGCTGTACATTTCATTTTTCATATAAGTCTCAAGTCATAGAATGTTGCCGTGCATTCGAAGAGTGTAGGATATGGCCATAAGCACATCTAGCCTCTATCGACCAAGCGTCTCGCAATCACGTCCAAGTGCTCTACTAATGTTTGATGCTATCGTAGTACTTGTTGCCTTTATATTTTGGCCTCAAGTGCTATACCCTTAGCTTTATTCAGCAAGACACTATGTCTTAAACATCAAGGTATATCAATATATGAAAAGGGTTTTTTTGGCAATTTTAGTGGTAGTGGAAAAATGGAGACATTATTTGAAAGTCGACAACTTTGTTATTAAGACTCGACCATGAAAGTCTTAAACATATGTTAGAACAACCAATTCACACCCCAATTTAGTACAAGGGACTTACTAAACTCCCGGGATTGAGATTTGAGATTTAATATAGAAGGGCATATGTATTGTCAAGAAAAGTGGCAAGATTAACTATCTAATCTGAAAGAGATCTCTCGTGTTATTACTATTATGGTACAAGGTAGGTACCAAGATATCATAACAACATATGAAAATGATACAAGAGCATAAGAGGTTATTACGACTAAAGCTTTACATGAGGAAGCTTTTCCATAATTTACTTATCATGAAAGAATATTGAGGTACAAATAGCACGGGGTGTACAATAGGGAAAATCATGAGCTTAGGAGGAAATTACTTTTAACTACTCATAGCTCAATTGTGGAAGGTCATGTAGAGGTTTAGAATTCATACGGAAGGCTTAGAGGATGTTTTTACTAGCTAACCATGAGATCTATTATGAAAGTTATGGTAGAGGAGTGTGATGTTTACAAAATAGCTAAGTCAAAAAGGTAGGATGCCCAAGATCATTACATGCCTTTGCCTATACCAAGAGGGGCATGAAATGATATATTTACGAACTTTGTGGAAGGGCTACCCAAGTCAAAAAAAAAAAAAAAGATACTATTCTAGAGGTAGTAGATAGGTTTATCAAGTATGGTCATTTCTTATCTTTGTCTCATCTTTTCTCGCCTAAGGATGTTGCAAAAAGCTTCTTGGATCACATCTACAAGCTTTATAGATTGCCGTTTCCATTGTCACCGACATGGATAAAGTATTCATAAGCATCTCTTTGAGGGAACTATTTCAATCAATAAGAGTTAAACTCCTCATGACTTCGGCGTATCATCCATAAACAGATGACCAAACGAAAAGATCGAACCAATGCTTGAAAACATACTTACGATGTATGTGTATGGAATGCCTAAAAAAATGGAATAAGTGGTTGCATTTAGCTTAATAGTGGTATAACACCAACTTCCATTCTACCATCCAAATGACCCTATTTGAAGCTTTATTTGGGTATCCACCTATTATTAGAGAATTGGCTATTCATGGCACTTCCATAGTTGTTGTTGTCAATGATTTGATATAGGAAACAAGAGCTAGGGATTTATTCTTAGTAGCTTAGTTGGGAAAGGCTCTACATCATATAAAGCAAATTGTAGATCGTAAGAGGACTAAAAGGGAATTTACTCGTGTGATCTTAAAATTTAGCCATACATGTAAGCTAGCATAGCTACGTGCAAGAACTTCAAATTAAACTCCAAGCACTTTGCTCACTATTCCATCGTATAAAGGATTGGCAATGTTGCATATAAGTTCGACTTGTCAAATAATGCACTTATGCTTCCAGTATTTCATGTCTTTTTGTTAAAGAAAAGTGTAGGAGACTTGGTTGTGGTCTACCACACTTTCATTTCATTTTTTGATATCCAATACCATTAAATTAGCATTTTTGTTAATGGTCAATCGAAAAGGAGAGAATCTATAAAGTCTGGACATAAAATTTCAAATTTGCTCACCAATGCTACTCCTATCTATTGTACTAATTTGTATTTAGTTAAACTTATTTTGTTATGCTTTTAAGATATAAAATGATGAATAAGTATTGTAACATATTAAAGATATTTTAATAAATATATTGCATTATATTAAGTAATTTATCACTTTTTAAACTCATATAACTAACAAGTGCCTTTATTTTTTTATGAGAGTAATTTTTAAATTCAAAAAGTACAAAAGAAGAAGAAAGGATGATAATAAATAGTCTCACATCATTTCAACAAAACCAATTATATAAGGAGAAAAAAAAATTGAAATAGAGCTACATATGTAAAACACTAGTTTTATGAGACACGTCATTTCAATAAAACCAATTATATATATATATATATATATATATATATATATATATATATATATATATATAGATATATGTGTGTGTAAAAAAGAAAAAATTAATGGAGAAACTTTTTATTTTAATTTAAAAATTGGATCCGTACTAAGAGGGGGTACCCTCTTGTTTCAAAAGAAATGCTTTTGGTTAAAAAAAGGGTACCCTGCTTTATTTAAAAAATAAAATGATTTTCTTTAAAATGACATTTGTTTTGGTTTCAAAGCAAAATACGCATAAACTAAGTACTGTTTTTAGATAAAAAAAAAAAAATAGTTAAAAACCATTGTGCTTTAAAAACGCCGCGATATCAAACAGTCACATCGTGGCCTTCTTCAGATGAGACTACTTTGAAAATTTAATCAAATATCAGGGAGTGTTTCATTAAACAACTTGGCGAGTTGCGTAAAACTTGAAAAGCGTTACCACAAATCCGTTTTCAACAATTAACCGTATACTTCCTTTTTTTATTTTATGAAAGTCAGATTCAGATTATCAGGATAAGCCAAATAGCCAGCAAGAAACTGGCTCGAAAGTACAACCATATATTCATTAATAGATTAATTATTCCCGTTTTCAAAATCTTTGATAATTAAAAAAAAAAACTAAAACATTTAGGGCATTTACTGTCCATAACATTATTGATCTAGATTCAAAACAATATTCATTTACTGTTTACTTATAATTATATGCACTATGAAGTGATATTTTTGTTATTTTAAAATTGTGTTTAGGATATTTATATGTGAGGTTTTTCAAATACTTTATTTCGATTTTTAATGTTTTTTTTTTATTATTTTGATCCTTAAATTTATTTGTGTCGCAATTTAATTCTTAAATCTAGATATAGGAGTGAAAAAGCCACAATTGGCTTTAATTTCAGCCTCTTTTATGGCTGATCTTACATTTATATTACTTATTTTAGTGAAAAAAAGTGCATTTATAATGGTCTCAAGTCATAAAATAGTTAAAAGAGGTAAATTGAAATCTAAACAACATTAAAATTTTCAATTTGATGTGTATATATATATATATATATATATACATTGATTTTTTTTTATTATTTGCTTTTTATAAATATATGAATATAATTCACATGATCAATTCTTAAGATTTTTGAATGAGTCTTAAAAAACTAAAAGCATGTTTCAGATAATTTGTCTCAAATCTTCTAAAAAAATCAACTAAGAAAAATTAGAATTCACATTTTTTATTTGCTTCTTTTTTATATAATTAAAATTTATCAAAATTAATTTTGTAGCTTTTTTATTTCATTCTATTAACTTTAATATATTTCTTGTAATTTATTTATTTTAAAAACATTTATTTATTTTTGTTGTATATTTTGAATCGATCGAGTATAGTAAATGATGTATAAATAAAAAAGCTGAGATAATTAATTTATTATAAATTAACTATGTATCTACACAAATAATACCAACCATTTGTTATTATTTTTTTAATATTCTAAAATTAATTTCTTTCAAATAAAATAGTTAAAATAATATTTTAAAAGAACTATCCAATAATTCAAATACGAGTGTTTATTAGTAATGCTATTGTTTTTTTTTTTTTTGTGTGAATAAATATATTATATACTAAAAAAATTGTCTCATCAGCGTTAAATAAGAATGAAAAAAATTAATTTGTTAAGTTTGTGCAATTTTTTATGTTAATTGTTGTTTTATTTTTTCAATACAATCTTATGAAAAAAATATTAAAATATTTTTTAAAATTTTGGATTAAATATTCTATTTAGACTATTACAAGTTTTTATTTAAAAATCAATGCATAAAAAAATCATGTTTTTTAACTATAAATTTATTAAAAACATAAGGAATAATAAATTATAAAAATATATGATTTTTTTATCGTTTAATTCAATATATTTTAATAGACTTGTAATATAGTACAAACTATCAAACTAAATTTTTCTTTTTTAATAATTTTACATATTTTGCTCGATCTGTAACGTTAACACGGTGCGAGTAACCAATTAGTTTCTCTATAAAAAAAAATTGGTCCACAATTTCATCCCTTATAGTTTCCACATCAATATTGAAAGGGTTTTCTAGTGGTGCCAAAATAACGAAATAATTTTCTTTGATCAATAAGTTCATCCTTACCACTTCCCTCTTCTCCCATTCGCTTATTTTCAATTTCACACAATATATATCATAAGAGCTTCGCCATAATCTAGAATTTTACAAAACCTATTTTTCACATGTTTCATTGAATAATTTTCAGATGGAGCCAAAAATCTAAACTTGAATTTCTTATTTTCGGAAAACAAACAGGAATTGAACTATTCAAAAAAAAAAAAAAAAAAAACAACTAAACAGGTTCTCGAAACAGCTTGGAAAATTCTCATAGAGCTTATACTGAATAGAAAAGTCTAAATTTTCTAGATAGGACAATGAGAATGGCACATGATTTATGTGGCTTAGGAAATTATTTTCTAAATTTTAAAAGAAATTCACTAAAGAACGTTTTATAAAATGTTTAGCACTGTAATTAAAGAGGTTAGCTTGATGATTATGAAGTTGTGCTTCAATTTTGGCTTATATAAATAAAGTATAAAAGTTACTGCAGGATGTGAGCGTGTATTCAAGAGCGAGTAAATTATAAATTAATATTTTTAATTTTGCAAAATGAATTAAATAATTCTTTTAATTTTAAAAACTAATTATTGCTTTATTTTCTTATTCAATTTATTTTTTTAAGAAATAGAAAAAGGATTAAATAATTAAATAATATAGAAAGATTGATGAGAAAAGAAAATATTTTTTAAAGTAAAACAATAGTAAATTAAATATGGTCAAAACTAATCAAGAGACTAATTAGTTAATTTCTTAAACTAAGGGAATTATTCAATTCATTTTGCAAAACTAGAGGGACTAATTTATAATTTACTCATTCAGAGTAGATGGACTATGTTCCGTCATTGACTCATTGGCATTATTGCTAACGAAATTCAACAGAAATATCCAGAGCCAGTTCTGGACAGTAGGGATTAAATTCTATTAAAAAAACTGAAACTTTATTAATTATTTATTTATTAGGTGGGAGATAAATTCTCTCACACTTATTTGTGTAAAAAAAAAAAAAAAAAAGGAATCTTTCCATCTGTCACAGTCAAGGGCAAGGCGTTGCAAGGTGGACGAGATAGACGAGATGTTTTACCGTGGGGCCAAAACCTTTTTTAATTAAACTCTTTCTTACAAGAATTATGGAATTGCGTCATACAATATGTAATTTTTTCCCCCAATATATATAATAGTTAAATCCTTATCCAAGGTCCTTTGTTTTTATGCTGACAGATAAGTAAAAGCATCAAAATACTTGTATCACGACTGTTTTATCCAGGGAAGTTGTTCAGAAATATCCGATTTCAGACTTTTCGCCGCCCGACTCAAAGTCTACTGATCCAGACAACTGAGTTTAATATTTTAATGGCTGTTCCTTTCCACTTTAAAGTCTTCTTAATTAATTTCTTGTATTTGGTAATTAGCCGAAAAGACTAGACTCGAAGGCACAAAGAAATTTCTTAGATTCTCCGTTGATCCGTTTTTAAATTCAGATACGAACTTAGCGTCGGTGTGAAATTTGTTGAAAAGAAAAGGAAAGAGAGAGAGAGAGAGAGTAGAAAATTAAGTATGGTAGTGAAATTGGTGTTTCGAATAACGGTCTTACTATTGCTAACGCTTCAGCTAGCAATGGCCGTAGCACCTATAGCCAGACCTAATTGTCTTGACAGTTGCGGGCAAAATATAAGCATTCCTTTTCCCTTTGGAATCGGAACAGGTTGCTACCTGGACAAACAGTTCGAAATTGAATGCAACCAAACTGCCAAACCTCCTAGAGCTTATATACGTAGCATCAAATTGGAGGTGGTGAATATTTCAGTTGACAGAGGGGCTGCTATTGTCAAAGGTCCGATAATATCCTTCAATTCTTCTGGCAGGCAAGCCGGTTTACCTGTGAATTTAACGGGAACTCCTTTCATCTTCTCTTACCGGAATGTATTCGTAGCCATGGGTTGCAACACTCGTGCTGTCATGACTGATATTCAGCCCTATCTCATCGGCTGCGAATCTACATGCAAAGACCAGAGTGCTAATGTTAATTTACTAGGAACTGATTTTTGTTCTGGTAAAAATTGCTGTGCGTCTTCAATAAGTTCATTCGTTCAGGTTTTTAATCCAAGGTTGGAGGCTCTAGATGATAACCAAGGCAAAAATGGACGCTGGTGGGCCTTCCTAGCTTCGGACGAATGGTTTACATCCAATAAAACGGATTCCTTGGCTGTGCCGTACATGGATTACGTACCAATGGAACTCTTTTGGATAGCCAGTAACTTGGATCTTGAGAAAAGTCCAGTGCATTGCGAACTAAGGAATGACAATAGATCTTTAGCGGCTGGGTGCCATTGCTATATGGATAGCTATGAGGGCAACCCCTACCTTAAGTCTGGGTGCACAGGTACCAAACCCATGTTTTCTTTCCTGCTGTGTTTGCGGAATCATGTGCACGAGCGATTGATTTTAGAGAAAAAGTTCTATTACATGAAAAAAAATTTGCCGAATCATTTGAATATTATTGGATATGTATTTGGTTTTAATATTATTCAACATGTTATGTTTACATGTTAGGTTCTTAAAATTTCTTTTTTGTTTTTAATAAAGAAAAATTAAGTTTTCTATACATAACACTCGAGAGCTTTTATGATTGTACAACTTGCTTTAATTGTATGATCATTCTTTTTAACATATAGATTTAGTTAATCTGTCCAGTACTCTTTGAACATGTCAATAACATGACCATTTATGTATGAAAAAAGATTTTGCTCCAATTTGTCCCATTCTCTGGTTCGTTCATTAATGGAATTTTGCTTTCTTATATCATCAGATATTAATGAATGTGAAGATCCAAAGCGACATTCGTGCGGTGGGATAACAAAATGTGTGAATAAAAGAGGGTGGTACATTTGCAAGGTCAACAAAGTCTGGATTGTCGTTATAGGTTAGTTTCTTTGATCTCTGTCTCAAGATCTGAAGATCATGTATTTGGTTCACGTCTATCTGTTGCAATCTGAGAAGATAAGTACAAATTTGGAGAAATTTTATATAACTATCAAAGCAAATATATATATATATATATATATATATATATATATATATTTATGTAGAGAGAGAGAATGAAAGAAGATTAAAAATTATTTAAGAACTAATTAAGTCCAAATAGACATACATAATAACTATTTATATAACTTAGTTCTGAAGTACCAAAAATTTCTCCAAGTGATTATGTCTTCTCTAATGCGCGCCTTTGGTTGAAACTTGAAGGGTTTAAATGTTTTTACGTTATATGTTCTTAATTTAAATAAAGAAAGACTTGAAACTGTCTTATAACAACGTATGAAAAAACGTTGTTCCATTTCTAACTCTGTCTATTGATAAATTTTTCTGTAAGATTTGTTGTGATAAATATATTATTAACTATTAAATATATTTATTTTTTTGTTCCTAATCTTTATTTTAGTGTAGTTAAAAATTATTATATATGTTAAAAAAAACTAATTCAATTATAAATTATCAAATTTTATATAAAAAATTCAAATTTTAAGTAGAAAAATTCAAATTTGTTCATTTATAAATAATTCAAAACAATCCATTTGAGATATAAAAAATATTCAAAAATATTTGAATACTACAAAGGTAAAGCACTTGCCAAGCAAATCCCCCATTGTTTTCATGAGTAGGAAGCATCCAACAATCATTGACGAGGCCACGTACACTTGAGGGGGGTCAACTGCCCCTCAATGAACAAATGTTTATTTCCTATTCGCACATTTTTCCAACTCCTACTCTCCGTATATTTTTATCAAATTTTTAGAATTTTAATATCCACAAGCAGCATAAGCCTACAAGGTCTTTGATTTTAAATATTTTAATTTTATTTATTTATCATTAACTTTATAAATAAAAAATACCTCAATTTATTCTTATATTTTAAAGAATTATCTCTTGTGTATCCATTCTTACATGTATAATTGCAATTATTATATTCTTAAATTATTATATAATATTCAATGGGTCTTATCAGAACATTTCATTCAAATTAACGTTACTTAGCTTATGGATTATAGATAAAGCATTAGTATATTTTCTAATACTAAACTAACAAAATGATAACAATTAAATTCATCCTTTTTAATTCTATTTTATTATTAAATAAATTAATATTAGTATAAAAATAATTAATATAATTTTTTTCTTTTAAAAAAAGATGGTGGTTGTGGATTGATCCTGCTGAAGAAAATTCCTTGTCATATCCAACAATCATAGTCAAGAACAACCATTAATTTTTGCACATACTACAAACAAGTTTTTAACTGCCAGCCAGTTGTTAAGGAGACGAAAAACAACAAAACTTGGTACATAGCAGGAGTCTACACCTGACTATATTTATGTTTCTAACACCTTTTTTTTTTTTTTTTTTTGTGTAAATATTTAAGAGAGTTGAGGCTTTCTTCTATAGACAAACAATGCACAAGGGTATTAGTTAAAGATTTGTTTGGCATCACTATGAATAATAATTTTTAATTTAAGTAATAATTTAGAAGTTATTTTTTAATTATAAATAATTTACGATAAAAATGAGTTGATTTAGAAAAATAATTCAAAAGAACTATTTTTTTTTAAAAAAATAGAAGGTAGTATAAATTAAAATAAAAAATTATCTTGTTATCACAGAGAAGAATAAAATATTATTTATTTGGTAAAAAAGTTAATTTTTAAATGATTATGAATTAATAAGTAGTTGGATTTTAGGTACCATAAACCTTGTCTTATTATTTAGTAAATTTGAAAGTGTTATAATTATAATATCTTCTATTAATATATCAAACTATATATCTATCTATCTATTAATATATCAAACAACTGTTGATTATAATTATAATAACTATCTATTAATATATCAAAAACCTTTTGATTAAAAAAAAATAAAAAATAAAAAAGTCAAACACCTAGTCTTAGGACGTGTTTAGCACGAAAGGGTAAAGGGTAATCATCAATTAATTTGATTGGTGCAGAAACTGCATGGAGAGGAAGAATTATTAAAAAGATTACTAAGTATCCTCCACACATGTGGGGTAATTAATTGTTTTTGAATTATATATGCAAAAAACTGACAAGCTCAAACATGGCCATGATTAATGCAGTTATAGCCGCGGTGGTTGGAGTCTTGTTACTGCTAGCAGGCATATGGTGGTTATACAGATTTATAAAGAAAAGGAAAAATGTTGAACTGAGAAAGAAGTTCTTCAAGCGAAATGGAGGTCTATTATTAGAGCAACAATTATCCTCCAGTGAAGGAAGTATTCAGAAAACAAAAATATATAGCTCAAAGGAGTTGGAAACAGCAACAGATCGTTTCAATGAGAATAGAATACTTGGTCAAGGTGGTCAAGGAACTGTTTATAAGGGGATGTTGACGGATGGAAGCATTGTCGCAGTTAAGAAATCTAAACTTCTGGATGAAGAAAAACTTGAAGAATTTATCAACGAGGTTGTCATTCTTTCACAAATTAACCATAGGAATGTGGTTAAGTTGCTAGGTTGTTGCTTGGAGACTGAAGTTCCGCTTCTCGTCTATGAATTCATTCCCAATGGAAATCTTTACAAGCATATCCATGATCAAAATGAGGAGTTTATATTATCATGGGAAATGCGATTAAGGATTGCCATTGAAGTTTCTGGAGCCCTTTCCTACCTACACTCAGCGGCATCTATTCCGATTTATCATCGTGACATTAAGTCTACAAACATACTCCTAGATGATAAACATCGAGCAAAAGTGTCAGATTTTGGAAGTTCAAGATCGATTGCTATCGATCAAACTCACTTGACCACTCATGTTCAAGGCACTTTTGGATACTTGGACCCAGAATACTTCCAGTCTAGTCAATTTACGGAAAAGAGTGATGTTTATAGCTTTGGAGTGGTTCTGGTTGAGCTCTTAAGTGGACAAAAACCAATATTTTCAGCAAGTCCAACAGAAACCCGAAGTTTAGCAACGCATTTTATTCTTTTGATGGAAGAAAACAGACTGTTTGAAATTCTTGATGCTAGAGTCAAAGAGCATTGCCAGAATGAAGAAGTTGTTGCTGTTGCTAATATTGCAAAAAAATGCTTGAATTTGAATGGAAAAAAGCGACCGGTAATGAAATATGTAGCAACCGAGTTGGAGAGAATAATTGGATCGTCACAAAAAGGAACAAATGTTCAGCAAGACAGCCAAAAGACTGAGAACAGCGTGGCTGATCAAGTAAGCAATGCGTGGCATGCAGTTCCGACATCACCAACTACCTGTGACTTTGACATCGGTATAGCTCCAGCATCAGATGTCGATCCTCTGCTTACCTATAAAACATGGTGATGTTAAGAATAGTTACCAGATGATCTGTTTTTCTTTTATCAATTACCAAATAATATGCTGCCTTGGTGTTCTATACGACCATTATAAGTGTTTATGATTTTGTTTTTCTTGAAAGTTTTCGGATAAACTTAGGATCATGCATTTAGCGTTGTGTTATCATGATATGATGATATGCTTCTACTTGTGCGTGCTAGGCGTTTCCCTTCTTGCCCATGCTTCTCCAATTTTTGCTTCATGCTTGCTTGGCAGATTTTTATGCTTTTCAGGTCTTGCATGGCTAGATGTTTGATTATTGGTTTACAGGTTTTGGGGACTCGAACAATTTCACCTCCAATGGACTACCCAATGCCTACGCACTTGTTTTACAGCCCAACTTTACTATGCATCTTTCTTTTTTCTATTTAATGTAGAAGATCCATTCTCTCTAACAATAATGATCGAATCCATGTTCAATTAGGAGCTCAATTCTCATTGCATGTATGGGCATTTTTTGGGCCGCCAAATAAGTGTATGGAAACTTATTATTGCTCAATTTCCCATCGGGTAAATTCCACCTTGTGCTTTTATTTTAATTTTTCTATTCAGATTTGGTATAAAATATTAAAACTAACCAATCTTTTTATCCATCTTCATTAACCACAAGTTATTATTTGTTTAGTCAGATGGTGGATGAAATTTATTCTAGCATTCAATAATACATAATTTGTTTTGTTTAGTACCAGGATAAAGAGCTTAAAATAAAAACACTAAATAGTATTAAGAACATGTCATGAATTTCATCCATTTTCTATCATTTGTAACACTGCCACTAAAAATTAAAGTAGAAAAATCAATCAAGATACAAAAACAAATGGAAGGTCAATTAGCTAAATTAAGAGTAAAACAAAACAGACTTTACAATAAAGAATGAATTTATCTCAGGTTTTACTAGTAATTCGCTTTTATACTTTTTGAAATTTTTTAATCGAATGTCTCTATTATTATTATTATTATTTTGGTTTGATTGAGTTTCTATATGTTATACAACATCTGTAATGTAGTCCATCCATCATATGATTCGTATTTGATGGATGGTTGATAAAACTGAACCAATAGATGTTTGACACTTGTCTATTTATAATAAAAAAATATAAAAATAATTTTAAAACAAAAAAAATATATTTTTAATTTTTGTATACGTAAAGAAATTCAATATTCTTTTAAAAACATATAAAAAATCAATCTCCAATGAAAATTTTCATTTCTAATCAGGAATACGATAATTAATAACAAATGCTAACATTAAAAATAAAGTTTTAATTTCAAAATCACTTTCAATAAAAAATAAAAAGAATAGTAAAAGTCTAAAATTAATCAATTAAAAACCTAATCATTTTCATAATATTAAAAAAAAAAGTTCCATCTTCCTTATTAAAACTAAAAAACTAAATTAAGGAGGAAAAAAATCAATTTAAAAGAAATTATGGAAATGAAAGTTTTTATTGATTTTTTTCTATTAAAAATGGACCCCTGTCAATCATTAATTGATTAATGGACGTTTCTTTGGCTTTTAGATGGCCGGATGAACCGGTCAAGTAGCGTGCGTCATTTTTTTTTAATTATTATTTTCATTATAATAATGTATCAAAAAATATTTAATAAAGTATGAAAAAAGCAAAAAAAAAAAAAAAAGCAAACTTAAATTTAATCATTTTTTTTAATTATCAAAACTTGATATTAGCCAATGAAATAACTCAACTGACATTAGTGTTTTTTTTCCCTTTATAACAACAAAATAATAATAATAAATAAATAAATAAATAGATATTATTTTGTATATGATTTGTGTCTCAATTGACATTAGTATCTTATTCTTCTCTAAAAAATTCCAAAGTTGAATCTGTCATTTATAATAATAATAATAAAAAACTTGTTTTTTCTTAAATAATTATTTTAATTATTGAGCTGAAGCATATAAAAATTGACTAATTATTTCTTGGACGGTGCAATTGACTCGCTAATTAATAGCACAACGACTTTTCCCAACTATATACGAAAGAAAATCAACATTCAAGCGGTTGCTTGTTCTTTAATTATGCTAGCTGGTTTGACCGGTAAGTGACCAAGAAGGTATATCTTTGATCCTTCCTTTAACTCTGTTCAAGGGCGGCTTTAGCGAATTCAAAACCGGCCAAAAGAAAAATGGCTGTGAAATCCATATTTCGAATCAGCCTCTTACAATTGCCGATATTATTTCAGGTAGCAACAGCCGTAGCAACTATGACAAAGCCTGGATGTCAAAATCGTTGTGGAAACATTAGCATTCAATACCCCTTTGGAACTACAAAGGATTGCTACGCAAACGAAATGTTCAAGATTGTATGCAGCGAAACTGCCAACGAGCCTCCAAAAGCTTTTATTAGTAAAATCAATATGGAGGTTCTGAATATTACAGAAGGTGCAGCAGTTGTCAAGGGTCCAATAATGTCCTTCAATTGTTCTGACAGGCAATCCAATCTACCTGCTCTGAATTTGACAGGGAGTCCTTTCTTTTTCTCCTTTGGTAATTTGTTCACTGGAGTGGGTTGCAACTTCCGTGCGTTGTTGACAGAGATTGGGCCCCAAGTCGTCGGATGCGACTCGACTTGCAGTGCTAACTACAATCCGACAACCCTTCTTTACGGTGAAGATATTAATAGCGTATGTGCAGGTAGAAACTGCTGTGTGGCAAGAGCGCCTTACCGGATGCAGGTTTTTCATCCAAGTTTAGATACAAAAAATGGGAGTGAAGACAGCAGTGGATGCAAGGTAGCTTTCCTAGCAGACAGTAGCATTTTTTCACTTCCCAATATAACCAATCCGCAAGCGCTACAGGGTTGGAATTCTGTTCCACTGGTTCTGTCCTGGGTGATGGATTACAGCATTTGGAGATACGATAAGAGTACCATGGATTGCAAGTATTTCCTAATCGAGTCATCTTTGAATAACGTTACAGGATATGAATGTTCTTGTGGTTACGGCTATGAGGGCAACCCTTACCTTGGATGCACAGGTAAAATTGCTAAAAAGGAGACTAAATATATACATCAGTATTTACATGCTTTTTGTTTGTTGATCATTTTACTTTTTATTTCTTCTAGTTTGACGAAAACACGATAGCATTCCTATCTCACTAAAAGTATGATAAAAACTTTTAATATGGGGGTAGGAAAATGTCTAAAGAGTGGAATTCCCCTGTTTTCTTGTTTCCTTTTTTGTGTGCATGCATTCATTCCTTGATTTTGGCATTTCTTAAATTAGATATCAATGAATGCAAAGAACCAAATCAACATTCATGCCGGGGGATAAAAAGATGTGTGAATACACTGGGATCATACAAATGCGAGGTCAATATGTATTGGACCGTCCTAATAGGTAAGTATCTCTATGCTCAGTTTTATTTATTTATTTATTTTTGGGTGCTGTAATTTACTTTCTCTTATAATTTTGAATTTACTTGGCCCTTTTGAACTTAATAATTGATAGCCAAGATTTGATATTGTGAAAGTCCTAGAATCTGTATTTACTTTTTCCTAGAGTTCTATTTGGCAATTTGGATTGTGATCTTGCGTTTTTCCTGTCAATGATGCAGTTGCCAGTGCTATCGCTGG